AACCCCCTATTTTCTATCTTTGGAAGGCACAAAATTAGGATTTGCAGTGTCTATTAAACAGGCCCTGTAGCTATTACTGGAGATGTGCATGCCATGTATGTCATTGTATACAAAGGAAAAATTATTACTAATATTTTACTTCTGATAGTAGTAGACTAGGAGTTTAGACCAATTCCCCAACTAAACAGAAATAGACCAATTCCCCAACTAAACAGAAATAGAAAAGTGTTAATACCTTTTAAGACATGGTAGCATGAAACTAGATTCACTAAATGAGAATAAAGGGATGGAAATTCTTATGTCTAGCACTTGGGGTCATTTTCCTTTGGGAAGTAGACAGTGGCTAAATGATAATTTTAACAATTGTATAAGAGTAAGGTCTGCTTGAATGAGCTCCTTGGATCATTTTAGGTTGGGAAAAAGGAACAATAGCTTTGTATACAACATCCATTCTTAAAGTACATTAAGGCAATTCTGGTTGGTTTGTTTCCCTACGTATCTGACATATATAAAAAAATCGAAAGCACCATGTAGTTTAGTGCAAAAAATTCTCCCTCCTGATGAGGTAATTCTGGTTGGTTTGTTTCCCTGGGTATCTGACATACATAAAAGAAAATCTAAAGCACCATGTAGTTTAGTGCAGAAAATTCTCCCTACTGATGAAGTAAGACCACAACAATGACCAGAAAGAAAACTGCAATAGAAACAACCCGCTGAACTATTTTTTTTTATCAGTTTCAATTCTAGTATTTAACAGAATAAAGATCCAAAAGAGACAATTATAAAAATCAAAGTCTAATTATGTTTAATTGGTATCAGAAGAGAGTATTATTGAACTTAAAAAACTGATGAATACCAAGTCACAAAGCTGATAAAAAATTCAAAGTAGGTTATATGAGATGGATGAAAAAGATACGTAAACACCATGTGAAAGCTTGTGTGTACTTTAGACACAAGCCTGATCATTTCATAAAACTGACATTCCAATTTACCAATAAGAAGTTCCAAATGGGTACTCAATAATGTGGAATTAAAACATGAAAAAAGTCACAATTCATGGAGAAACCAACAAATCTATAAAAGCGTACAATGTTAACTGTAGTAAGCAAAGAAAAATGTTTATAAAGATTGAAACATGCCCAATGGCCAAAAGCACACATTGCTTTCAAAGACATGATACACACTTTATAATTAATGTTTATAAGGGCTTACTGCCAATCACCCTTCTCCTTTCCCCTTTCTGTCCTCTTCACTCCATTTTCCCTGATTGAACTCAGGGCTTGAACTCACAAGCATGCCAGGTCAAGTGCTCTATCCCAATGTGTATTTTTAAATATATCCATGTCTCTGAAACATAACATTACCAAAATACACTAAAAGCACTAGTGTATGTGTGTGTGTATTTATATATATATGTATATATATATATATATATGTATATATATATATATGTAAATTGATGTTAGGCCACAGAGCAAGTTGCAATTTGAAACAAAATCAGAGTATCTAACCATAATTCAAGAAATTATGTGTGAGAATTGGGTTTGAGCAAAGTACCCTTGGATACTTTAAATTCATACATTCAGTTTAAATTCATACATTCAGAAGAAGCAATTAATATGCCAGGTTTAAAAAAAGGTTCCTCACACAAATAGCACAGATTATTATTAGTAGACTCAACAATTCTGTAGAAATAAGTCAGGATCTGCTCTTTTTGTTTTTGTGTCTGGTCGTGGGGCCTGAACTCTGGGCCTGAGCACTGTCCTCAGCTCTTCAGCTCAAGGCTAGCACTCTACCACTTGAGCCACAGCACCACTTCCGGCTTTTTTCTTTTTGCTTATGTGGTGCTGAGGAATCGAACCCAGGGCCTCAGGCATGCAAGACAAGCGCTCTACCACTGAGCCAACTTCCCAGCCCCTGCTCTTTTGTTTTTTAAAAAAATATTGATTTAAAAAAATTGTCAATGAGGAAGCAAAGGTGCAAAGATAAAATATAAGAGAGCAAACCATCAATTTTACTAATAGCATTACCAAAACTTTTTCTTTATATGAAGACCTAAAGAGTTTCAACAGTGATTTCTACCTATCATTGTTATTCCAGGAATACAAATTTAACATGGCAAACAAAGTCTGTAATTCACTATATTAACAAATTATGGAGAAAAATCAGTGTCAGTGAAAAAGCCTCAAGAAACAAACCTATTCATGATTAAAAATGGTAACGTGGAAAAACAATGTTTTGATCAAAGCTATCTCAGAAAAAGTACAGCAAACACTGTCAGCAGTGAAGCAAAGTTTTCCTTGTGAGAAGAGACAGGAATGGTACCTTTTCTATATAGCACTAGACTGGATATCTATGTGTTAGTGCAACAGAGCAAGAATATTAAATACAAGACCATTATTAAAGGGAAAAATAAAGCTGATGACAGTGTATATTCACAAATTATCTTTTGAAATAAACTATTAGACTGAGTTTCACAAAGTAGTTGAATACATTTCAATATATAAAAAGCAACTGACAATATTTTGTAAGAGTATCCAAAAATAGTATCAGGTAACAGAATTTATGAAAACATGCAGGCTCTTAAAAAACTGTCAAATAGAAAACTTTTAAAAACATACAAATGTAAGGATATACCATGTTCACAGATAGACTCTCAATATTTTAAAGGTGTTTATAAAGAATAGCCTGATTATAAAACAAATACCAAAAAAGCAAGGTCCTATAAATCGACAAGAAAAGATGAGAATGCTACTACATCTTAATTACCTTAATGCTAGGTTAAGCCAACCCTCCAAGACCTCTGTTAGCTAACAAATTTTACGGAATTGGATTTGCTGCTAAAGTAGTGCTCCAGAGCTTTGAAAGAATTGTCTTTTCCAATAAATGGCACCCGAATACGCAAACATATGCCAACAAAAACAAACCCAAAACTAAAGCAATTTAAACTATACACAATAAATTCCAGGTGGACTATAAAAATAAATAGCGAAGACAAAACATCTTTCTTAGAAAACAGATTAGCTTCATGGATTTCAATTAAGATTGTTTTTAAAACAAGGCATATCACATATTAAGAGACTATTAGAATGATTAATTCCTAGGCAATGTACAACACAAATGCTGAACTTACACAGGACATAAAAACTATGTTTGGGAGGGAGGGGGGCAATGGAAATATACACTACAATCAATACCTTAAGAGGATTTCCAAATTGCCTATTTCATTAATAACCTGGAAATGGCAAACTAAACAGAAAATCATGAACTATTCACTACCCAGAAAGACAAAACATAATGAGAAGGATTGGCAGGGTGATGGTGCACACCTATAAATCCCTGTACTCAGGAGGATTGCCAGTGCAAGACAGATGCAACTTGGAAGATTTTGACAAATTCAGAAAGCAGTAAATACAAAAAAATACAAATCCTATATTTCTATTTAAAATAGTTCAAAGAATAGGAACAATAAAAAGTTTAGGTAAATACTTACGTGTAAAAGCATAAATCAAAGTCATTTCCATAAAAGGAGTGATTACCTTCTGGAAAGAGAAACAACCTGACAGTGACTGGAAGGAACCACAAGGCTTCTGTAATGCCCGCATATTGTTTCAATCTCCTAATCTAGCACATGTGACTACAGAGTTGTCTACTTTGTGGTAATTAACTAGGTTATATATATATTCTTGCTGCTTTGTGCTGTATTTCACAAGAAAAATCTAGACACACTGACATTTCATTGGTTTTCTGTTTCCTGGAGTTTTTACCACTGCAACGGCAAATTACTGTTGAGTTCCAAGTGTACCTATTTCTCCACCTTCCTCAATTTGAAGATTAAGGGCAATGAGGAAGACATATGGCAAAGCCCACATTAAGCACCTCTAGCTAATTCTAGAAATTAGCTACAAAACTAAGTAGACATACTTAATACAACTGAGTTGCATTTTAAAATGGTTAAGTTGGTAAATAGTGCTATGTGTATTTTAGAATTTTTTTTCTGTGTACTGTACTAGGTAACTTCTCTATACTAAGCTACATCCCCCCGACCCTGAAGCGATTTTTTTTTTTTAAAGCAGCAGCTCCAAATTTGATCATCTTAAGGCATTCTGGATATGGAAACAGTAGTAGTCTAAGAGGAAACCTGTATAATAAGCTAGTCCTCTGGCTTCTTGGCCATGGCTTAGGGATTCAAATGAACACATTGTAAACTCAGGTAAGTTAATGAAAACTGAATTTGTCTTTGGACCTGCTACCTCAATGCCTTCCTTATATATACTAAAAGCAAAACAACTTTAAAAGCTATTTTGCCATCTAAAACTTGAAGGTCACATTGTTGGAATTCCACTGTATTGTACAATATTAAGTAAACATGAATGATTATTTTAAGCCCATTATCCTACATTCCAATGTGGTCAAACTACTATTCTCATTTTTTGCTACAATACAAGCACAATTTACAATACAGTAGTTACTTACAAGATACATCAAAATCCCAAATCCAGTTCTCTAAAATAAGAAAGGTGTAAACATTTTCTCCCCCATGACAAAATTCTACAATTGAAGAATTTACTGATGAATTATCAGAACTTTATAAAATCTATTTGTAAGATTCTTAACCTTAAATAGAGAAAATTCTTCTTTGGCTACATTTCTCCTGTTTTTCCAACCTCATGTCAAATGTCAAGATCAGATTTCCCCTTCTAGGGTAAAAAGGCAACCTAACATAACTAGTTGAACTAATTTTTTTCATACATACTACCTTGGCAAAGTATGTGATTGGTACTGTATCTCCTTTCAAAAACAAGAGTCCTTTTTACTTTTTCAGATAGGGTCTCAAACTGTCCAGCCTAGCCACCATAGTCCCCCTACCTCCTGAGGAGCTGAGAGAATAGGTGTGAACTACCATGGCAGCTTGTTTTTGAAAGTCTGCCTAATTTAGCCCAGGCTGGCCTTGAACCGAAATCCACTGTCTCTGCTTCCCAAAAGACAACACTTAACACAAAATTTGAAGTAATTTTATTTCTCCTAAGCTAACAACTTTTCTGCATTGAATTAAAGCAATAAAGTAAAATAAAATCCCCAATGACACGGTATCAGAAATCCAGATTTAGTTATGCTTTTATTTGTGAAAATGTTCAGCCATTTTATTGGTCTGTAAAAGAACCATCATCTGGGTCAAAAATGAATTCTATAAATCAAAGAATATTCTACACCTTGAAAAAGAAAATCAGCAGTAACATTCTCACTGAACATTGTAATTACATTTTTCTTCATAAAAGGTACATACTATTCTGTACTTTTCCACTCAAAGCAGTGGTGTGTTATGCTTGTTATATATATATAAAAAAAAGTTTACATCCTGTGGCAGGAAAAACCCTTTCTCTTTCACTTTTACTAAACTGGAGAAAATTTTCAAGTCTGTATAAAGTTGTCTATAAGCTGGAAAATGAACATGTTCAATCTCCATTTATATTTTAGTGCATTTTTGACAATAGTCACATTTTTAATAAAAGTAAGAAAATGCGTACAGTACTAAAGAGTTTCATCAAATGTTTTTAAGATTAAGAATATGGAGCACAGAATAAAATCATTGTGATGAATGAAACTGATATAAAATGAATAAAAATGTAGGCAAAGTTTACAAATCCTTTGTCATTTTGAAGACACACAGAAAATGAACTTTGGATACCTATCCATTTTGAGTGTTTTCCTTAATCTTTCCTGTAGACAGTACTAATCTCAGTACTAAGGTACCAAGCCTCTTCCTGGTGAGCAACATTCTCTGCAGTTGCCATGATTTCCAAAGGATATAAATTTAGCCCTTGAATGAATAATGCATGAAATCTACAAGTACCTGGTGAAAAACAACTGCTAATAGCAGTAATCATGTATCAACAAAAAAATCTAGTTCAGTCAATTAGTTACTCAGAGGTCCATCTTCAAAAGGCAGCTTCCTAAGCAACAGTAAACAATAGACAATGTACATTTGATGAAACATTCTTTGCACTGGAGAAACATGAAAATAAATATAGTATAACTTTTCTAATACCTCTTTCTTAGACCTGTACTAGTTTACTGGTTCAAGAAGCTCTCATTACATTTTGTCATTTGTATTTTACATATTGCTATTTGGGTAATTCAAACAAAATGCAGGTCTTCTGTAAAAGAATAAAAACAATGACAAGTATGCATGTGCCAGGGACCAAATTAGAGGGTTCTTTGGTGCAAATAGTCCAAATTCTCAGATTTGAAGGATAATATGTACCAATAAAAAATCTGCTGCTGGACGTTTACAGCAGTGCTCTGTCCTGCTTCACACTACAAATTGATAAAACAGTTGTTCTCAATAAGCCAATTTTATTTTTTTAAGTGAGGCATTGCCAGAAAATTTTGCACATTAACCTGGACCAATGATATAGTTCTGTACCCTCAGTTGTGAAACACGACGTGAGCTAAAGGCAAAGACCGGTTCTCACAAAGACACTGCTTCAAGTCCGGAGCCAGAACAGTGTTTAAACAGTCTTCTTAGATATTTTCTTGCCTTTCTTAAAAACTAGCTTATTTTTAATGTAGCCACGCTTCCTTTTGGTGGTCTAAAAAGAAAACACAACACACGGTATTAGTTCAGGTTTTTTACCTATGGTTGATTGTGTTATCATATTATCTGTTATCATATTAGCTCTGCCTGGCACTAGACCCTGAATAGTACCATTACCTGCTTCAGGAAGAATATACTAAGAACTCTGAGACAAACCTAAGAGCCCTGAGGTTTAAGATGGAAGGAAAGACTACCACCACAACATTCCCCATCATACATTCCTCTTAACCTCTAACTACACTAGATTAAGGAAATCAGAAAATGGTAATGCTTTGCTAGTTTAGGAGTCAGCTGTGTCAGAAATGTAAGTTTACCATTTTTCTGTAACAATTTAGGATATAACTAAAATACCTTTAAACAAGTATTTTCTGGTTTTAAATTACTGCAAATGTAGTAACTGAAATTACTGCAAAAAATGTTTACTAGGTTAAATAAAACCCTACAGGGGAAACCATATCAGCATATGTGTATCAATTCGACAACCCTTTTCTAGATATTGAAGAAATTTAACTATTCTTTGGGATTTAATGTACCATCAAATTGCTAGATTAACAGTTTAAGGACTGTTAAAATCTGAGTGCTCAATTCAATTTTTATATTCAAACAACTCTTAGAGGAAGCATTACCAACAGGATAAATATAAAATCATATTCTTCTTATTCAAGATTTTACTTCAAACAATCCATAATTTTTTCCAACAGGGACAAGAACACATGGTAAAATGTAACCAACCTTCTTTATGTTACAAAAAATTAGCTATTACTAATTAGTTACCCATATTTTGCTCTTTTATTAGGAAGTTTTGTTCTTTTGTTTTTTGTTTTTGTTTTGGCTGGTTCTGGGGCTTGCTGAGGGCCTGGGTGCTATTCCTAAACTTCTTTTGCTCAAGGTCAGCACTCTACCACTTGACCCACAGTGCCACTTCTGATTTTTTTCTGAGTATTTTACAAGAGGTAAAGAGGTTCATGAACTTTTCTGCCCGGGCTGGCTTTAAGCCATGATCCTCAGATCTCAGCCTCCTGAGTAGCTAGGAATATAGGCATGGAGCCAGCAGTGCCCAATTTAGGTTTTATAAAAACAAAATCTAGGCTGGGAAGGCAGCTCAGTGGTAGAGCGCTTGCCTTGCATGCATGAGGCCCTGGGTTCGATTCCTCAGCACCACATAAGCAAAAAGAAAAAAGCCAGAAGTGGCGCTGTGGCTCAAGCAGTAGAGCCCTAGCCTTGAGCTGAAAAGCTGAGGGGCAGCGCCCAAGACCAGAGTTCAGGCCCCACGACGGGGAACCCCCTCCCCCCAAAAAATCTAAGTGTGATATATTTTAAAAACAGAAAAAAGGTTATTTCCTGAATTATTACGATGTACAAACTTCTAACTAGAAATCTTTTTCTATACAATTTCATAACCACAAAATCAAAACTCTGTAACTGTGCAGTTAACTGAGTCCTAGGATGACTTCTCCTATGAGATTGAACCATTCCAGAAAGATGTTTTGCAGCCTTAAATATGCCATATTTGCAGTGACAGGAGAATTGCCAGAATGACAATTCTCCCATAAAGTCAAACCAAGTTAGAGAGTGAAAAGTAGGGGGAAAAGAAACCTTACTTTATAGCATTAATAAAAAATAGAACAGAAAGCACTGACAAACAAATTTTTAAAAATCCTTGAAATAATTAAAAACTTATATGAGACAAATTATTGTTTGCCTATTTGTCCTTGTTTGGAAAGATTATGGAAAGGAGGGCAAAAGAGGTCAGATTAAAAAAAATTACTGCTTTTGGGAGCTCTCTCATGAGATAGCAAGTTCAACAACTTAAAAAAAAAGAGTAAAATAAATGTCTTCTCTATTCTTGGATGTCTTTGGAATAACCACTTCTAGCTTTGCTTTGACTTCTGTACTGGTGCAACTCACCTGTTTCTCCTGCCTCAAGCCTGTGAGAAATCAGATCATACAATTTATCATTTTACCTGGAGACTGGAATATCCAATAACTATTAGGAGGAGTTAATACTAGATGTCATCTTTAAACACGTTAGTCTAGACATGCTCAATTGTTACCAAGAAAATATTAATCTAAAATGTCCATAATATTCAGAACTTTTATAGTACAAAAGTACATTCTGAACATATTTAGTATAAATTACAGGAAAAGATAAAAGTTGCACTTCAATGACTGAAAATAACTCATCTTGAACTATGGAAACACAAGCATCCATTCAAATACTAGGACTGAAAAGATTAGAGATTACTTGGCTTAAGTGAACAATAATTATTCCCAGTAATTCATATCAATATTTATTCCAAAAGGATTGTAGAAGTCACACCAAAATTCCTGCCTGCACATTCTGTCATAATAATACGCTAAAAATAAGTCCTAAGAAATGATTTTTTGCTTCAGAAGTCACTTTTTAAAATTAGATACAAAGGGACGTATTGATATTTTCATACATTCATATGATGTATTAATCAAATGCACCTACCCCTCTACTGTTTTATAATATCTTTAAAATATTTTAATGGGTTTCATCATTTACTTTTACCCTCTTACTGGTTCCCACCCCCTACACGACCATCAATTTCAAGTTGAAATTCTGTATAAGAGAAACATGCAATATTGTCTTTCTTATGCTAATGCTTATTTTTATTCAGTGAGAAATGTAGTAAAACTTTTTACTAAGAATAGAACATGAAGATGGGATATAAATTTGCTTTGACCAAAGATGAGGAACTAATGACAATTCTATTAAGCTTTAGGATTTTTTCCTGTATGTTCGAAAAGCAATGGCCACAGATATTTTACACTACAAATATCTTAACACAAAAAGCTACATATCTGTAGAAACATCTCAACTTGTTCATGGACAACCATCATGCTATCTAGTAAAGGCTGCTGTTAAGGTGAGCTTACATGCTCAGTTTGCAAAGAATACAATACAGATACCTAAGATGTAGATATAAATTATAGTCTTCATAAATTTATCAAGTAGAAATTTACTGGCTATTTTTAGTAATTTTTTCACATAAACCAACAAGCATTGAGTTACTCTTCTATAACAATGACTACACTTGGCACCCACCTTCTTTGACAAATATTTCTGTTTGGGGGAAATGTTGGTGACACGAGGTTTGTGATTTAGTGTTTCCCTGTTATCAGGTGCTTTCACTTTATATATCCTGACAAGCCAGTGTTCTGATGTAAAGGCTTCCTCCAAATGCTTGAATTTAATGTCCTTATTTCCAATCTCAGCATTACGTGTTCGGTCAAAACCTGGAGGTGTACGAAAATCTAGCTGCAAGAGTAATATTAGTAGTGGATGTTAACTGCATTGGAAAAGATTCAGTATCAAAAGGTAGTAAATATTATCATTACTTAACAATTTCACACTTTAAGAAAACAAAAATATAAAGAGTTGCAATGAGGAAGAAAAATTAAATACATCACAGTAAGAATTTTACAGATTCCTTAATAGATCAGCAATCTACAAGCATGAAAAACAAAATAAAGGGAAAAAATCCAACCAACCAACCCAATCAATCAACCCCTGTCACACACACGTACATGCAGGGAGAGAACACACATGCTTAGAGAAAACACAGAGAAGGTGCTTGCTTTTTGTTTCAGGTCCTCACAGTTTTGTGATTCTTTGCTGAATACGGTCTTTATTCAGCTGTTTGGGTACTACTGGCTCCTTTAAAACCTTTGGAATCAGCCTAAATACAATCTCTTCAGAGAAATATTTTCTCTAGGCTGGGAATGGTGGCTCACACCTGTTACAACAGTTACTTGAGAGGTGCAGATTAGGAGGACCCTGGTTCCAGGGCAGGCCAGTGAAATTTTTTCAGTCAGATCCCATCTCAACCAATAAAATAGGCCTGAAGGTGAGGAATTGTGATCCCAGCTGCACAGGAGGCCCTGGGATGCTGTAAGTAGGACAATCAGGTCTGAGATCAGTCCAGGGCAAAAAGCCAGACCAGACCCTACTTGAAAAAGAACTAAAAAGCAAAACAGGGTTGTGAGTGTGGCTCAAGGCAGAGCAACCTGCCTAGTAAAAACAAGGTCCTGAATTTAAACCCCAGTACTGCCAAAACAAAAAACAGAAAAGAAATTCTAGCCTCAATTATGTAAATGCACAAACTTAGATAAATTCCACTTAAAACATAAAGAAAAAGGACTATTTCACAGTGAATAACCTGCTCTTGCTTATCTATACAACAGTAAAAAGAATACACATTTTATATTGTAGCCATGCAACATTCATAATTAAGGCAGACATGAAAACTGAACACATGCTAACAACATGGCTTAAACTGTAGATAAAAGCAGACTATTCTAAAACTCAAGTCTTGGCCCATATTAGTCATAACTGTACTCTGTGAGAGGATAAAATCTGTTTCACAAATTGAGGCCTAAACAAATCCCTCCAGGTTGGAGAACTATCATGATCCTGGTGATGGTAGAAAATTAGACAGGTAATCAATCATTCCTCTCCTTTCTGGTAAAAACACTTGACTAGAAAGCAATATGGAATTAATTTTTACTGAGACCTTACTTAGTACAAAAACAGTAACTTGGTATTATAGTCATTAACGCTATAAAAATACTTGTATAATTGCCTCCTTAATCCTTAACCCTCTTGAGTTCTAAGTTGGGATGAACTCCTATAATGAAGTCAAAGTTACAGGAGAAAAACAAGCTCATTAGTATATGTAGTACACATCATACAGGAGAAACATCAATAAAAATCAAACATGAGATATTGCATGTTCAAAAAAGAACAGTAGCCGGGCACTGGTAGCTTACAACTGTAAGTCTGGGAAGCAAGTCCATGAGACCTTTATCTCCAATTATGTACTAAAAAGCCAGAAGTAGAACTGTGTCTCAAGTGGATGAATGTTAGCCTTGAGCAAAAACCTCAGAACAATACCTACCTAGGCCCTGAGTTCAAGACCTAGGACCAGACAAAAAAATAAAAAAATATATATATGAGAAACTAATGTGTCTTTGCAGATTCCTCTAGTGCCCTCTCCAGAGCAGCCTTCTAGAGAAGAATTTAATTCCTATCTTTAGACAGAATAGAGTTTGAATCAAGAAAACTTTGCCCTGATGTTTCTTAATTACTTTTAGTTTAAAAAAATGACTTTAATGCGACAGAGGCATATCTTTTTGATCCATATGGTCTACCTCAAAACCCAGCATTAGTCCAACCCCATTATTTACAAACTAGTAAAGTCAAGATCAGGGGATAAAGCTTATCTGAGGGGTTACATGGTTTGAAAAAACTTGACCTAAAACTCAGACAAGGTATCACACAATGCCAATTATTCTGTCTTTCTGCTACAAAGCCTCTGCATATTCACTTATTTTGCAGACCTTTAGACTTTTTTCTGCATCATTCACAGTTACTGAAACTGACCTAGACAGTTCTAGCTGTCTGTAGTAAAGAAGAACAAGGATAGAGTGAACATCAAAAGGGACTACATAATCAATCAATTTTTGGCTTTGTTCCACAAGTAGGAAAGAATCCCACTGTTTTCAAGCTGGAAGATTTCTCTCTTGGAGATAAAGCCTTCAAAAAGTTTGCAGTCAAAAGGTAGGAAGGCAAACAAAAGTTAGATGTGAGCTAGTGTTAAACAATATTGATATATTATTTTCTAATTTCTCACATAAGAAATCTAAATTTAATTAAAACAAAGAATCTTTAGACAAATACATTTCTCTGTATGGCAGATGAGATCAAGATATCATCCTGTTTTCTACAGGCAATTTATGTTTTGAATAAAGACTAACAGAAAAACTGATTTAACCAACCTGCATTTCTCCAAATCTATAGTATGACATTTTATACATAAGGCAATTCAACAAAGTTGGGGATCCTGCTTTGTCGACACGAAATTCTCCTTGTTGGGTGAAATAGTCACCTTCCTAAGAGAAAGAAACCAGAAATCTCTATGTTAATTAAATCTAGCACATCCAAAGCTACAAGGCTCTTGTTTTTCTTTTTCTGTGAGAATTACCTTTTGACATACCTTCATAAAACCACTTTCATTTTTATCTCGCATCCCAAATTAATCTTACTATTTTAGACAACAGAGTAAAACCTTCAGTTTTAAAAGAATGGAACCAACATTATTTAATTGTAAAGAGAGCTAGCCCTATATGCTTCATTCTCATTACTCCTTTCAGACTTTTCCTAATTTTTCCCATATGAACTCTAACAACTCCTCTAGCGGAGAAGGGAATGTTTTAAAAGCATTAAGTAAAAAAAAAAATCCAAGGCTGGAAATGTGGCTTAGTGGGAGTGTGCTTGTCTAGCATGCATGAAGCCCTGGGTTCAAGTCCTCAGTACCACATAAGCAGAAAAAGCCAGAAGTGGCACTGAGCTCAAGTGGTAGAGTACTAGTCTTGAGCAAAAGAAAGATCAGGGACAGTGCTGAGAGTAATATTCACTGGGTTAATTTATAGATTAATCACTGCAGAGAACAATTTGGTACTCTAGTTAGAAAATGTAATTTCTGAATGTAAAAAAGCAATTTGATTGAAAAATCCCTTGTCTATAAATTTATTCTAGATACTTGCATATGGTGAAATAAGGAATGCAGAAAATGTAGAAAGTTATTTGTTGCACCACTGTTCTAAGACAAAAAATTAGAAACTTCGTTAACGTTCATCAACAGGGATAGGTTAAATAAATCAAGTAAACACATAATACCAATGTAAGAAAGGAAGTTCTCCATATCCTAATACAGAAAATTCTAAAGATGTAATATGAACACAGTACACACATTTTTAATTCCTGCTTTAGTTACCAGGGACTTTGGTCTGCTTTTTTTAACTGTCAAAATAAAATTTTACACACATACACATACTGTGGAATGGCTAAATTGATCTGACATTGTGTTATTTCACATTTATTTTCTTATAGTTAGAAAAGTTGAAAAATCGGGGTTGGGAAGGTGACTCAGTGGTAGAGCGCTTGCCTTGCATGCATGAGGCCCTGGGTTCAATTCCTCAGCACCACATAAGCAGAAACAAAAAAAAAAAGCCGGAAGTAGCCCTGTGGCTCAAGTGGTAGAGCGCTAGCCTTGAGCTGAAGAGCTGAGGGACAGCGCCCAGGCCCAGAGTTCATGCCACGACCGAACTCCACCCCCCCCAAAAAAAGTTGAAAAATTTATTCTCAGCAGTTTTCGAGTACATGATATACTGTTATTAACTGTAAATTTAAAAAATTTACAATGCATCATTTTTTTCTACACTAGGTAGCCCTAAAGCTAACCTCAAATTTGTAATCCTCTTGTATCTGCCTCCCAAATGTTGGGACTACAAGCATTTGCTACCTTTTAAACTTTTGTACTTTAATTTCAATCATGTGAATGCATTATCTATTGAGAAAGTTCAAAAATGATGAGATTTAAAAACACAGAAACTCAGGGCTTCTATATATAAGATATTTTCAAAATATCTATTTGGGAACACTGATGATTATGTTAAAGTGTGCATACTGGGAGAATATTTCATAACAATAACCTTAGGAAATGTTTGCTCATCACAGTTAAGGAAAAATGTCATGAAATTCACATTTGATCAGGAAACTTGGGCTTTATCTCATAAAATGACATACAATGCATTTCTCCAAAGACTCTTTCATTGTGTTTTAGTAGCAACTCTGTCATTGTTTGCGTCTTTCTTGAATAGTGCACAATTCTTGATGCTCATTCTTTAAGAGCTCATAACTGAATGGGGAAAATAAGATAAAATCTAACTACCCAATACATAGGTGTGATTTGCTGACATATAAAGAAAAGGGTACACCAGAAAAGGGCTTCTGACAAGTGGTGTATATGTGGTAGGTGAAGGTACTCCAAAAAGGGTCCATGATAAGCACTTGCCAGGGGAGTCAAGGAAAGAAACCACAAGCAAGTTTCAGGGTACAGAGTAGAGTAGCAAAGTGAAAAAACTCCAGGGTAAGGAGTTTGGACTTTAAACCAATGGCTTCACTGTTCTGTAGTAGCTGCTAGGATAAAGCTTCTTTGACATGCTACAAATTTTCCTAACAGTACTACAAATGAGTTATGTTGGGCATTTTTAATAGTGATGACCTAAGTCTTGCCTTGGTGATCTTCATAATTCCAGACCTAAAATAAGACCTAGTATTCAAAGCATTTATGTTGACTGGCCCAAACTAACTTGATCATAACACCAAGCTGAAAGAATTTTAGTTGACTCTTATCTGTCTGTGCAAGATCATTTCCATAGTTACAGGATCAATGTATTATTACATGGAAAAGGACTAAAGCAAAAAGAACAATTTCAAGGTTACCAGACCTCTCAGGTTTACAAACATAAGGGTCAGTATAAAGTAGAAGCAATGGAAATGGAAACAGGGCTAAAGTGAAAGGTTATAAAGAAGTAAAAGCAGTAAATCTTGGTAAAGCATTGTTTCACAGTTAAAAAGAAATGCAGTCTTGAGGGTAGGTTCAGGAATATCCACTATTAGGCAATTTCTTCATCACAGAACATGATAAGAATGTACTTTCACAAAGCTAGATGATATATTCTATTATATTCCTAGGCTCTATAGTATAATGTCATATATGTGATTTATTGTTGACCTAAATGTCACATGGCAGATGACTCAAGTATGAGTTTCAAAAAATTACAACAGGGCTGGGAAGGTGGCTCAGTGGTAGAGTGCTTGACTCGTATGCATGAGGCCCTCGGTTCGATTCCTTAGCACCACATAAACAGAAAAGGCTGGTAGTGGCACTGTGGCTCAAGTGGTAGGGTGCTAGCAATGAGCTGCATTGTTCAGGGAGGGAGAATGCCCAGGCTTAAAGTTAAGCCCCACAACCAACCAAAAAAAAGGAAAAACAATTAAAACGTAAGAAATGCTTTTAATATCTGTAATAGTAGTCGGGGGTAACAACATTATATGAAAAAATAGGATTATGAAAGCAAATACAAAACAATTAGCAAAATAAAAGAATTATATAGCTGTCTTTCACATACCTAGGATTCTTACCCAAATATCTAGTTTCTTACCCGAATGTCTTTTGGATGCTCCCCTTCAGCTATCCTAACCATCCAGAGAAATTTGTTGATATCGTCACCAGAATAGCCAATAACCCCTCCAAAAATAACCAAAACATAATCTACATCTAGAGTCCTCATGATTTTATAGGCTGCTGTTTCATTAGAAGACATAGCTTTTCCCACCTATAGAATGAAATAAAAATGAGTATACATTTTTATTTTGTTAGTACATATAGATTATCTCTCATGCTCCAGCAGATATCTACTATTAATTATAACACTAATACAAATAGAATTCATTTATTTGTAACATATTTTCCCTGTTGAAAATCTTTAAAATACAGAAGTGATTACTTTATATGGATTAGCTATCTGATCGCAAACAGCATCTCATACAATATAATGTTCTTGCTTTAAATATTTTCAATATTTTCTTAGGCTTTTAAAATAGAAAACAGAAATCAAACATTTTCAAAAAGTTTCTGATTTTGCTTTTCTAGTAAGTAAAATCTATCAGATCAGTCCATAATTCAAAAAAATATACAAAAGTAAATGTCATTCTTAAGCATACTATGAAATCACTTTATTGAATAAATCTATACAGAGGTATTCTGAGGACTGAACAGAGTACCGACTCCCATATTTTCATCAGAATTGAAGTATGAGTGTGAAGTAGTAATAATTTATTTTTGATCACTTAAAAAAATCAAATACCTACCAATGCTATGTGGCTGTTATTCCAGGTGTTATTATCAACCAAAGTAGTTCTATTGGCCATTCCAGCTATCTGATAGCCATAATCCCACCAAGACATCACTCGGGCATGTTCATCTGTATTTTGCCTCAGCCAGAAGTAAGCTTCTCTAAAATCATCTAAGATATTCCTGGTGCTGCAAAGAATCACAATAATCTTTCAAATGGAATCTTAAATGTGAAGAGGCTAACTGAAAAATTTTGCCATTAAATAATTTCACACTTTGAATATGGTAGTTAAAAGCCATTAAAAGTAAGAAAAAAAGAGGAAAAGGTAGATAGATTATTGCTTTCCAAACAGGCACACAAATAAATCATCTACATATCTTGTTAAAGTAGATTCACTAGTATGAGGCCTCACATTCCCTAAGTCTACTGAAGCACCTATGAAAGGTGAAAGGCAAGGCAATGTATAAATCAAATGTATAAATCAATGTATAAATCAAAATTTAACTGCAATCATCTGAGTAAAGCTATCTCATACCTGGATTTTTAATTCTGCATATACTTAGAATAAGGCCATGACTTTGCATTTCTAACCAATTTTCACGGTAATGATGATGCACTATCAGTACAACAGAGAAATACTGGTGTATATGATTATGTATATAGAAATACTTGGGAAAAGAACATGAAACCTAATCAAATACAGTTCCACAAACATTTGATTTTGTTAACTAAGCTATATTCTTACCCATCATGATTATAAGAGGCCAGGACCACACTTGGACTAGAGTAGGCATTGCTTGTGACCCAGGTACAATGAACAGCAAACATCATCAACAGCATCAGCATCAACATGGTAACAATGCTTTTTATATTAGGTCCTAAGCCCTCTTCTGTTTTTTCCTGTTCAGTTACATGTTTCCTCACTTTACCTGCCTGCAGATATAAAACAAAACAAAAACCAAAACACAGAACAAAAACAAAAGTTTAGATACTTTCATCAATTGATTTGCTTCATTAAGACAGTAAAGGAAAATGTTTTAAGAATGTTCATCTATCACTTAATTAGATCACTTTAAAAATGTGTAACTATTTTCTCCTGTAGGTGACAGGGAGCTTTCTAAAACTCATCCAAGTTTCTGAAGTCAAATGTAAATCAGGTTTCCTGGGAATACACCTAATCCAGGAGTTAAAATTTCAGAGTAAGACATCTCCAAATATAAGAGTCACAGCTCTATTTCTCCAGCTTTTTGGTGGTGAATTGGAGATAAAAGGACTTTCCTACTTGGGCTGGCTTCAAAGCATGATCCTCAGCTAACAGCCTCCTGACTAGCTAGGATTTAAGTATAAGCCAATAATGTCTGGCACTATGTCTTAATTACATAGAGGAGATAATCATATGACTCCCAGTCTGGTAACATAACACACACACACACACACACACAAATTTACATCATTACAAATTCTTCACTACAGAAACTGAAATGTCAATGTTCAGCTATAACCTAGACTATACAGAGCTTTAGAATGCAGGAAAAAATGCATTTATAAAATCAGACTTCCATTTTCCAATCTTACAAAGCAAATAGACTTGTTAAAATTAAGATAACCTTAAACACACAAATAAATGCAAAGAAATAATTCTCCAAGAACTAGAATGGAAAACAAGTTCTAAATTACAAGACTAATGAATCCACAAGACAAAATATAATACATTAACATGTCTTTATGAATTATATTGTTATTAAGGAAAGAATTTCAGTTAATCCTACTATACTAGGAGGTTTCACTGCTTAATTATACTTAAAAACTTGGTCAATACTAAAACTGAATTTGTACCAAATATAATCCTGTTCTGTTAATTAAGAAAGTAAAGATTAAAAATGAGTAACGCTGTATTGCCAGCTACTAACAGCAAACTAGTGTGTGTGTGTCACACTGGGGTGGCTTGGCTTTTTCCTCTTATAGCTGTTAGTAAACTGGAGATAAGAGTCTCTACTTGAGCTATGCCTGGTTAATTGAAGGTTAAGAATTTTTCACATTTGCCTGGGCTAGCTTCAAACTGCAGTCCTCAGATCTCAACCTCCTAAGTAGGATTATAGGTGTGAGCCACACATTCCCACCTTATCTACCTGGTTTCTAATTTACACAATTTAGCTGTGGTCTAAGACCAAAGCTGTGCTCTTAAAAACTGAAGGATATTCAAATTTAAATCAGAATCAACTCCAAATGGATCAAAGATCTTGAAGTCAAAGCAGACACCCTGAAAACATTACAGGAATAGGAGCAACTCTAGGGCTCTAGGCCAAAATTTTCTTAATAAAGACCCAGAAACACAACAAATCAAAAAAAGGTTAGACAAATGGGCTGCATTAAACTGCAAAGCATCTGCATGGCAGAGAACATAGCAAGCAAGATCAATAGAAAGCCCACAGATTGGGAGATCTTCACTAGCCATACAACAGACAAGGACCTCATATCTAAAATATACTTAGAACTCAAAAAATTAAATCCTCCAAAAACAAATCCTCAAAGAAACAACTTCCCCATTAATAAGTGGACTAAAGATTTAAAGAGAGACTTCTCTGAAGAGGAAATAAGAATGGACAATAGACACACCAAGAAATGCTCAACTTCTCTAGCCATAAAAGAAAATGCAAATCAAAACAACATTGAGATTCTACCTCACCCCAGTTAGAATGGCTATAATCAAGAAATCTAATAACAACAGATGCTGGAGGGGATATGGCCAAAAGGGAATCCTACTGCATTGTTGGTGGGAGTGTAAACTTGTTCAACCACTCTGGAAAGCAGTATGAAGGTTCCTCAAAAAGACTACCCAGAGGTCCCCTAGGACCCAGCAATCCCATTTCTGGGCATTTACCTAAATGATCACAAACAAGGCCATACTAAAGCTACCAGCACAACTATCGCGGCATTATTCACCATAGCTAAGATATGGAACCAACCCAGATGCTCCTTAGTAGATGAATGGATCAAGAAAATGTGGTATATATACACAATGGAATTCTATGCTTCCATCAGAAAGAGTGACACTTCCCCATTTGTTAGGAAATGGAAAGACTTGGAAAAAAATCATATTAAGTGAAGCCAGAGCCAAAGAAATATTGGTCCCATGGTTTCCCTCATTTGCAAAAATTAGTATAGGTCTAGGATAAATTGATCAGACGAGCAGAAAAGCTCTAAAACTATATACACATGACCATATAAGATGATGCTAAGTGAAATGAACCCCAAGATATGGACACAAAAAGTCTTTCTTTGTTGTTGTTTTTAATGTACTATGTGGTGATTTGTTTCCTTTGTATGTTCTTCCCCCTATGGTATATCCCCTGTTGTCATTGTTTTGATTTTGGTGCCCTGCATCTTGTATATACATTTATCTAATTTGAGGAGGGGAAAGGGAATAAGAAAATGCTGAAACAAGGACAAAGGATGACCCATTGCAACAACGATACTCTCACAAGACACTATGTTGGAAATGAACTTTACAACTTTGGTGGGGGAAGGGGGAGGGAGAAGTGAAGAAGGTAGGGGAGGGGAGGGATAATAAGAGAAAAACGAAGGAGGGGTTAACAATGCCCAACAAGAAATTAATTACCTTACTCTGTACCCCTCTGTACAGCATCTTTACAATAAAATAAAGTAAAATAAAATTGAAGAGTATTAGCTATTCTGAGGCTCATGCTTCCTAATCAGGAGGCTGAGATGTGAGGATCAGGTTTGAAGCCAGCACAGACAGGAAAGGACACAAGGAAAGCTTGTGGTGTTGTAGCTCACATGGCAAGAGTGGTAGTCTTGAGCAGAAAAGCTCAGGAACAGCACCCAGGCCCATTCAAGCCCTAGGACTGTCACACACACAAAAATAAATACATAAAAGTAGAAGGGTACTAACAAACCAGCTGGCCCAAAGAAGAAAAAAAACCTTGAGATTCAAATTGTGCAGCAATCAGTGGAAGACCAACTAGAAATGACAATCATTTAGTCACATATTTTAATATACAGTTCTTTCTTACTGTTGTAGAACAATGAAGACACCATATAAACATTTAAAGGCCTTACTTCAGCTTTCCCACCTTATCATACAAATTTCCTGGGTTTCTTTTGTCATCATCATCACTGCTGTCCTCCACAGGTGGATTTTCCCTTTTCATGTCATCTCCCAAATAGTGCTCAAAAACATTTGAAAATGCAATTGCAGACAGCATACAGACGACTGGAGTCAAAGTCAACATCAGCCGTACCATCACTCCAGCAAAATAGACAGCACTGATCGCATACAGAGCAACTGTAAAGACACATTTCTCTTACAACACTTTGAGGGAGAAATGTTCACAGAAAACTAAACTAGGTCTTTAATACTGAAAGATACAAAACAATCTCAAAGTTGACAAATGTCTCCCAAAGGAATTGTTTCTAAATTGTTAATAATGACCAAATGCCTTATACTCACTTTAGCATTTACAACTAATGCTGACTAAATCAAAACTAGTTTAGAGAAAAGTATTCAAATCTTATTACAGTTATAAGGAAATAATTATTTGTCAATAGCATAAATTATAACATTCAGAACTGACAGATGAAAATGTTATTTGTACATTGTACCATTAAAGCACATTAAATTTATATAATCAAAATCTGAAATGAAAGGCCAGTGGCATAAACCTTGCATAAAAGCAAAAATGGATAAAAAGAGCATTAAGATATTATTATTGCAATGAATAACTTGTAATGCCACTTTTTAAAGAGCATTAAAAAAAAATTAGAGCCAGGTGCCAGTGGCTCACGCCAGTAATCCTAGCTACTCAGAAGGCTGAGATCTAAAGACTGTGGTTCAAAGTCAGTCTGGGTAGAAAGTCATGAAACTGATCTCCAACAAGCCACCAGAAAATTGGAAGTCACACTGTGGCTCAAGTGGTAGAGTGTTCGCCTTCAGCTGAAGAGCTGAGGGACAGTGCTCAGGCCGAGTTCAAGTCCCATGACCAAAAAAAAAAAAAAAAAATCCCAATAGCCACAGTCTTCTAGACAATGTATGCCAATAGGAAAAAGTTTTATTTTTACTAGTTGGAGGCTTCACAAAAATCACTGAGCTCCTTTAATCATGTTAGGCTATTTAAACATTTTTCTTGACCATAAAAATTAAGCCGCAATGAGTATGTTTATATGCATGCCCCAATGCACTACTTACTCATTGTCTATAGTTAGAATATTATAATAACGTCATTACATACTCTCAATAGCTGCTCCCTCCACATAAAAAGGGAAAGCACTATTTGGATTTCTAAAACACTCATTTCCTTCTGTTCAATGTTAAAATTTACAGAAATGAATTATATAAAAGTAGCCCCATTTATCTATACTTGTTTTTATTTTCAAAGCTCACAGCTAGTGCTCTTCCACCTGAGCCACACCATCAGGCTTTTTGCTGGTTAAATGAAGATTAAGACTCCTGAAAATTTGTGTGCCCAGATTGGCTTTGAACCATAAACTTAAAATCTCAGCCTCCTGAGTAAAAATTATAGGTTGGCATATATCTTACCTATATATAGGGTATATAAGTAAGATATTATATATTATATATAGGTAAGATATTATATCTTACCTATATTAATCCATTTATTAATTGCTGTGCTGCAGTTCACTATAAAAAATATCTACATTCTTTTGCTGATGACCTTTGGAATGTTCCTAGTCAGTAGCTATACTTTGGTTATAATTCTCGTTAAAGTGCTTTAGAATAGTATTTTGAGGTGTTAATGCACTCACATCCTGGTATTATTACTGGCTTATGTGACCCTGTGCATGTTACCAAGCATTTGTTTTTAAGTTTTTATTATATGCCAGCCACAGGAACATCCTTTTTTTTTTTTTTTTTGAGAAAGTAGAGTTAGTATTGAAAATTTAACTTAAGGAACTAGAGCCACATCCTTAACTTTCTTTCATTTCTGTTATTTTTCAGGTTCAGTCTCATGTTTTTTGCCTGGGGCTGGCCTCAGACATTGAGTCTCCTACCCATGACTGCTGCATAAAAAATGAATACTATCATGCCCAGTTTAAGATGGGGTATTAATGTTTTATCCAGGCTTGTCTTGAACCAAGATCTTTCTGATCACTATTTTTTGAGTAGCTAGGATTACAGGTACAAGTCACTACACTGAGCCTCATGGCACACTAAGTATTTCAATCTCAACATTTGGCTTTTACATATTTGTATTTCAAGTATTGTTAACTTAGAAACATATACAAATAATATCAAGAGGTTATTCACTGGAAGGCAATCCTTATTTTAAAATGTAGTTTATGCATAAAAACTTAGAAAATGAACTTAAAATTACACTGTCAATAAATTTATAATTTTCAATTTTCCAACAGACAAGAGTGATATTAACCTTAGGGACTATAATGAATTTGACGTAAGATATAAATTTCATGTAAGTTCCAAGATAGATAATAATTAAAATTCAATTAATTTGTCGTAACTGCAACTATGCACAATAGTTAAGAAAATTTATCTTGACTACATAGTCAAAAAACAAAACAATCTCAAAATGATTGTTCCAAATCAAAGTGAACATTAAAAAATCTCTCTTACCAAATACTCTTTCATCATTGATATTTTTAATGCAGAACCATAAGCCCGCTGGGAAGGTACATACAAGAATATGTAGGTCAAAGAAGAAAGATACCCAAGTTGTAGGTTGATGTTCAGATACTGATGCAATAATTGGAATGTGTATTTTTGCATACCTGATATAAAAAATATTATTTACAGTTAATATTACAGTTAAATAATGAGAGGAGTTCTTTTTAAAGGAATAAATTTTCTTTTATTGTAAACATCTCTATCTAGTCTTGTTTAAATATATATCTGAATTTCAATAGCTGTTATAGAAATAAATGTTTCGTCTACTAAAACCAGGGCTAGTCCCCAAGATATTTTGGCTCTGGTTTTTAATATAAGTATCTATGTTATAAAGAAATCCACAGCTCATTTCCATCTCCTGCATTTTCATCAATGACTTTTTTTTTTTTTACCAGTTTTTGGACTTTATTAGAAGAAATACTGTACCCAGTAAGATATTCTACTTCCTCAATGCCTTCCTTGAAAAGATTTCAAAGTAGTCAATTAAAGCTTAAAAAGTCAATAGAGCAAGACAAATATAACTAGCAAAAGTTAAGCTAGTAAATTAACTATAAGGTTAAACCTAATGGTTATAATAATCAACAACTGTATATCCCTCAAATCCTCTATTTTAAGGCTGAACTCTTAAGATTTGCTTTAATCATTCCTATATAATTTGCTTATGTCCTTCAGTTAGACCAGAGACACAACTAATAAATTGTGGCAGGTTTTTATTGGGTCACCTAGAAAGTAACAAAGACAAAAGGAGTGGGAAAATAATCTTCAATAGGCATTTTCTTATTCCTAGGAAAACATTTTAGAGGCCATCAGCTTTACTGAACTGATTCAAAACCAAATTCAAAACCAAATATTTTTGCTTATTTTATAGTAGTACTCTTAAAAATGCAACAAATATTCTCTAGTGTAATTTACACTATTTTACAGAAGAACCAAGAATAATATGCTATTAGAAAAAAATTCATTTTCTTCATGTCTTTGTCAAATGGATTTATAAAACAGCATCCACCCTCAACAATTAAAATTCAAAGACTAAAGATAGAGGCTTTATTAAAAAAAAACACCTACAAAACCCCAATAAATTGTATCTGAATGTTTTAACAAAACTAAAACAATGAGTTTTTAATGAAGAACATAAAATATGTGAATAATGTATGTTTATACTAAGTACATAAAAATAGGTAAGAAAATATAAGGGATTCAATATTTACTAAACTAGGATATTCCAGTTGTTTAATGTTACTTTAAGTATTGACTGAAATGCTATTAATAGAAGAACAGAAGAAGAAAGTGCAGTTTAGTATGAAGTAAATAATCTATCTAAACTTACCCAGTATCCCATAATGAATAAAATCTGCCACTCCATGGTGCAATGTAACCTTGGAAGAAAAAAAACATGAAAGAAATTATCCTCTTTTTAAAAATTATTTTGTAAAACTTCAACGTTGTTTTTCATTTTGAAGATGAGGGCTTAAACCCTGCACTTAACAGGCAGGCGATCTATCACTTAAGCCTTATCCTCACCCCATACATGAAGTTTTAGTTACTTTTAAGTATGTATTAATTTTAACTTATCGTCAAAAGAATTTCAGTTTTCATTTTTTTCTGTTTGGTAGTAACAGGGTTTTAACTGAAGGTCTCATGCTTGCTAGGCAGGCAATCTACCATTTGGGCCATGTCTTTAGTCCTTTGTGCTTTTGTTTTAGTTACGGTGTTTTTTGTTTTTTTTTTTATTAAGTCTTGTGTTTATGCCTGGAATGCAACCCTTCTTTTTTTTTTGGTCATGGCACTTGAACCCTGGGCCTGGACACTGTCCCTCAGCATTTCAGCTCAAGGTGATCTCTCTACTCTACTGCTTGAGCCACAGCACCACTTCCAGTTTTCTAGTGGTTTAGTGGAGCTAAGAGTCTCATGGACTTTCCTGCCAGAGCTGGCTTTGAACCACGATCCTCAGATCTCAGCCTCCTGAGTAGCTAGGATTACAAGCGTAAGCCTGGCTGTGGAATGCAATCTTATTTATCCTTCCCATATAGCTAGGAGTGACAAGTGTGTACCACCATGCCTAGGTTTTTTTTTTGGTCAGTTGTGGGACTTGAACTCTGGGCCTGGGCACTGTCCCAGAACTCTTCAGTTAAAGGCAAGCACTTAACAACACTTGAGCCATAGCACCACTTCTGGTTTTCGGATGATTAACTGGAGATAAAAGCCTCGTGGATTTTCCTGCCCCAGCTGGCTTTGAACTGCAATCCTCAGATCTCAGCCTCCTGAGTAGCTAGGATTACAGGTGTGAGCCAAGTGCACCAGCTACCACCATGCCTAGTTTTAACTGATTAATAATGAAGGTTTTTGGCTTGTCTATCTTCAAATTTTGATCCTTCTGCTTTCTACTTCCCAAGTAGCTATAATCAGATGTATGAGGCACTGAGCCTGGCCTAAGTTTTCTTTGATAGGTAATAATCAGATAAAATAAGCCAATAGCCAAATAATCTTTCAGTTGACTATACTTTAAAAGAAGGTTTAGGTACTAAACAACACTGAATAATTTTTTGAAAGGGGCTGAAAATGGTTCAATGATCTAACCCAGTATGCCATACCATAGATAAATTATAAGGATGATTTAAAACATATTTGTTTCCATTCCTTCAGACTCTCATGGATTTTTGTGAACTTTAATAATCAAATAGATAAAATACTCTATTATAAAGAATTAGACTTCTTTTTCAGGACTGGTGAAGTCAGGATTAAGAGAGTAATCCAGAAGCACACTGAAAGTGATTTGGTGCCAAAAGCAGCAAAATTAAGTGATAATACCTACCTGTATAAGTCAGATAGATGACGCTAAGGAACACAGCACCTGCAGCCAGTGATACACCCAAAAAGAAAAGTGTCTGGAACTCTTGTTTTGTTAATCGGTCTCTCAGATACTGTAAGAAAGCATAAGCTTGCAGCAATGCGAAGACACCTAATTAAAGATAAAGGTCATATAAATATTCAACAAAGCACTTTCCAAGGCCATTTGAAACTTTTCACTTGAAAGAACTTCTCAGAAATTCTAGATGAAATCCATCTAGAATAGATCTAGATATCTCATCTGGACAAACTTTTCCTTTGTCAGTTATAGTTCACCAACCCATTAATAGATCCAAAGCCAAAACCCAAAAATCCTTTTCCACATTTATTTTTTCCAAAATGATTAGACTCTCTTTGTATGGCAAAAGTCAAATCCTATTAACAAATAAGGCCTACTTAGTGACATGTTTTGGGGGTTGGGGTAGAATAAGCAAAAATGTATCATTAAAAAAAAAATCCTAAGATCTGCTTCGCAGAAGAGTACAAAGAACTTAGAACAAGGAAGATCTGATTTTATAGTTATCACTTACAATCAAGCAGTAAGGGCTTTGGGACCAGCTATATCAAAATTTCAAAATGTGAGCATTTGAGAAAACAACAGAAGCAGGAGTTGTCTCTCTGTTCTACCTCAAAGTAGGGTATAAAAGAAGTCACTAAGCTGCCTCAAACCAGATACTAATGTCTTCATTCCAAATGAGACCTCTTGAAATCCAGAGGAAAAGAATAAAAACACAGAGATGCCAAACCTGAGAAAACAGGACTTGTTGAATTTTCCAGTTTATTAGCAGTATTAGATAATTTTTCATACTCTTAATCTATTAAATAATTAATATGAGATCATCTTTGTCCAATTGTACTTCTACATCATTACTGTATACTCTTGTCAAACCAAGGTATAAAAATATAGCTTTCTCTTGTTCCTTTAGACTTTCATGAATGAAATAGCTTGTTTTAAATAAAGTTGTATTTTCTTCTCTTGTCAAAGTGTCTTACTACAGAGCTCTTAGCCATCAACTTTGAGACGATTAAAATATAATCATAAGAAGGAGGGCACAGAATCAGAGGGAAACGGGAAAAATACAACAGAGGAGCCCACTGGCTGCGCTGGACATTTATAAAAATGAACTAAACAACTCAAGGGCAGTGATGGGAGGAAGGAAATGAGAGGGAAAGAGGGAATAGCTTAACACTTAGCAAAAGGAAAGAAATGTTACATATCACCTGATTTGGAACAAATAACTGTAGTGTCAAAGTTTATAGAGTCCATAAGCTTTATATACCACAATATTGACAATGAGCCTCATGAAGGTTAAAATGTGTTTGTGACTTTAACTAAGGATCACTGTATCACAATACTGTAAAATTTGTGAAATTTACAGTCATTTAATCTCAATAAAAATTATTTAAAAATATAATCATCTTTCCTCCTACATTAGAAATGTAAAATGACTGCTAAGATAAATAAAATTAAAGTGCTAGTGTATATCATTTAATTACAAAAATGTACCCAACACAAAACATTAAGTGTAAAAGTTTAAACAAAACAGACAAGATTCCTTATCTGTCTGAATTTTTAAAGTAAATTTTTAACTTTAATTTTAAGAGTTATTTTCAAAAGCCCTTTTTAGGATAAAGATTAAAAATTAGAAATCAAAGATTAAAACATTTGTGCAACTACTTAAAAATTTTAAAAGTCTAAAAAAAGATTTAGACATTAAGAAATGTAACAGCACACAACAGATGGCTGCATATATAAATATATTACTATTGTATACTCAAAACTGAATATACGTTTTCTCTTTATCTCTCATTATTACTTTTAACTTTTCAGGTGGTGGGGGAGGGCGTCAAACCGCACTAAGAATTTGGTGAGAGATGTTAGATAACATCCTTCACAAAGTTCTATGTTGAATATAGGTTGAGCATCTGAAAAGGAGAAATCTCAAAAAAAATTTTGAGCACCAAAATGACACTTAGAAAGTTATAGTTTTATAGCATGTTGGATTTTTAGGATAAGGGATGCTCAGAAGATAAAGTCTATGCAAATACTTCAAAATCTGAAACATTGATGGTCTCAAGCATTCCAGTAAAGAATACTAAACCTGAAATGGTATTTGTAAAATGTTATAAATAACCATGATCATTAACCTTGAAAGGAGAATCTCTGACAAAGCTTTATTTATAATCTCCCACAAGTGAGACTCATATTATTTTGGTGGTGGTTGTTAGTTTTTAAAAAAACAAACTCTACAAACAAAACCTCAAAATAACAAAAAAAAAATTTAATGCTTTTGCAAGACTGGCCAATCAAAGATTGATATATTCTTTAGAAAAGGAAAAAAAGTTTTCTTTCTCATACCTGCAGCTGCCATATGTTCACTTGTTCTGATTGGCTGGAATCCCACAAAAGGTATCTGCATGGATAATATTAAACCCACAATGTAGAAAGTGCTATATGCTATGAAGACAAAACAAGAAACAAGAGTGGTTTATTACTACTATAAAGTACTGAAAACATATAAATCTTTTTAGCAAAATTAATTTTTTTGTTATTATAAAGATGATATACAGAGGGGTTAGTTACAGCTATGTAAGTCAAGTATCTTTCTTTTTGGACAATGACCAAGTTTGCTTTACTTTTTTGCTTAAACTTACTAATTACATAACAAATCATGAATATTCTGTCAATTAAAAAATATAATTTTAAGGGCTTTCTACAGAACATTAAGACAGTTTAAGTATTATGTTTCCTTTCTAACAAATGGAATCAAGTTTTTTCTATCTACTATTGGTAATCATGGACATAATATTCCTGAAGTGATAAATCCTTACCATTACCCAGCACACATGAATACCTGCAATTTTTTATACACTTATACTTTGTATTAATTAAAAACTTATCACCAAATTTTCTATGATTAAAGAAAAAAATCAAGCACATAAAAGTCAAGCCATTAAATGGACTAGTTACTAAACTTAAAAATCTTATATAGAGCTGGGCGCCGGTGGCTCACGCCTGTAATACTAGCTACTCAGGAGGCTGAGATCTGAGGATCATGGTTCAAAGCCAGTCTATGAGACTCTGATCTCCAATAAACCACTAGAAACCTGGAAGTGGCACTGTGTGTGGCTCAAGCAGTAGAGCGCTCACCTTGAGCTGAAGAGCTGAGGGACAGCTCTGAAGCATAGAGTTCAAGCCCCACGACTGGCCAAAAAAAATCTAATATAGAAAAATGATTTGCTCTCAGCTTATGGCAATCTTAAAACATAGGCAAACTGAGAAGAGATTACAAAAAAGGCTGTTTTTCATTCACCTGTTCATAATCATGATTAAAAGAGTATCTATTTGGAATCACTGAAACTGAAGACTGATAGGAAGATATAGTTAATCTGAAATAAGTTTAGCTAGTGTGAAAACTTCTACTTATTATTATTTTCAATAATTACAATTAATGTACCTATGAACATCACAAGCATTCAATGTTTAGTTTTAAGTGAACTGCTATCAAAAAAAAAGAGAAGTAAATATATGAAAAGCAAACTTCTTAAAGTATGCATTGCTGTGCTATTTACTATATAATTAACATAGAATACATTGCTCTTCGCTCAATTATAACAACATTTATTTACCTTATTTTAACAGAAACCCAGTAATAGAAGGTATACTAAGCTGTCTAACAAGAGATGACTAGGTTAAGTCAAGAATAAGAAGCTCAGGTATTTAATAGGAAGAATGAGAATAAGTGAATAAAACTTCCAATAACTTGAAGCTAATGGAGGACTATCCATTAACAGTACAAATAACCCACCCAGTAGTATACTTTCTACACACATTAATGTTGTCATAGTATTACCCTCTATGAAAATAGTCAATGTGAAATGCAATTAAGTAAATAACAATCTCTCATTGTCACATGATTTGAACTGCCAATTAACTTGACCAGTGTGTCTTCCAGTTAAATTTTTTTTATAAATCAATCACATATTGAAGCAGAACCAGGGGAAAAGGAGGGCAGAGAGGATGGGGATTACGTTACTATGCGACCTCAAATTATTATGTTAACAAGTACTTCAACCATTTCAATAAAATTGAATAATACTTGTAAGATCCTTTTCCAAAATAATAAAGTAAGACTCTAGGACCAAAGAGCCTTGTACAGCTCAGAAAATAAACCTTTAGACAAACAGTATAAACAAAACATTACTAGGAAAACAAGTCCTGAGAAGACTGGTTTTCATGACAGTTAAGTCAACTGCACCCAAACATGACAGTCACCTTAGAAGCATGGATTTGTCTTCCTTATAAAATACAAATAAAAAAAAAGAAAATCAGATGTTATAATATCACAGTATTTGGATTAATAATAATTAGTAATAATTTGGATTAATAGTAATGGTGCAATGGAATAAAAACATATTAAATTAAATAAAGAAAATAATTTCTCTAAACACAAGATAACATAACAGAACTACTTTATGGTTGATAATTCTGGGTTATTTCACTGACTCCCAAACATTTACCCTGGCAGAAAAGCCCACAACCAGTTGCTCTCCATTGTCCTCTTTCCAGACCATGGCAACCACAAATCTACATCTCTGGATTGCTTTGTGTTTTTTTTTTTAATAAAAAGTAAAATATGCTACTTTGTTTCTCAATTATATTCTCTAGAAAATAATCACTAGAAGGTAGGATACAATTATGTGTTTGTCTGTGTATTTTTAGTCATATTCACATAATCTCTATCTTCTACTGCTACTTAACAATATAAAAATTTTACCAATTGCTCTTCTGGTGGCTAGAAATGCAGTGTCTTCTTAGACATTGCTGAATTCATGTCCAAGCAAGTTCATAAAGACTAAGTCTGACAACACTCTCATTCAGTACCTCAGGGACATTCTCATTAATAAAGAAAGCATCCAGGACAGGGGATAGCTCCTTAGTGGTTCAATGCTTGCCTATCATGCAAAAAGTTCAATCCCCAGGATGGAAGATAAAAGAAAAAAGACTGTATAAGCCCAACAAAGGAAGTACTAGGAAATGAGGAATTGCAAGGGGAGTAGAACAAATAGAAGGAAGTAGATGAATGAAGGGGAGAGAATGAGTCAAGAATTCATAGTATAATACCACAAAATTAAAAAAAATAAGGGCAAGGGGATGGAGGGAGAGAGATAAAAAATGTTGAAGGGATAACATAGAACAAGATGCACTGTATAAATAAACAGTTCTGTTAAGTGGCAAAAAAAATTAAATACATACCCTAAAATTTTTTTTACAAGTTAGGGAAAGGTTATGCTGGGAGGGGAGAAATGAGAATATTGAAAGGAGTAACACTGATCAAGATGCACTATTCATAAACTGCTTTGTTGAATGGCAACTCCTTTGTACAACTACTTAAAGAAAACAATAGTCCAAAGTCCCCCAGATGCACCAGAATCCAAGTTTAGTAAGAGTGATGGGATAGGTTGAAGCAAAACTATTTCAGGTTATAAAATGGGCCAACTGGGACTTTTGCTTTATAGTTCTGAATTTTCCTATATCAAAATTAATCTCATTTATACATAGTCACAAGGGCCAGTGAAAAAAATGTGATATTTGCAGCAACCCAAAGAAAGTATTTTCATTCAAGAGTATGAGACCCAAGTCATCCCAATCTTTAGTATTTTTTTTTTAATCACTGATTCTGAGATATTCACATAGGGGAAGGGAATATGTGTTCTATCTCAGAGTGCCTTGCAAATACACAGGTATTTTCATTAATGGCTGCTTATCAGACAATATACAATGCTAAATACCACAAACTTCTTTTCTTTTTTTGTCACTCATGGGGCTTGAACCCTGGGACTGAGCACTGTCCCTTAGCTCTTCAGCTCAAAGCTAGCACTCTACCACTTGAGCTACAGTGCCATTTCCGTTTTTCTCATGGTTTGTTGGAGATAAGAGTTTCATGGACTTTCTTGCCCAGGCTGGCTTTGAACTGCGATCCTCAGATCTCAGCTTCCTGAGTAGCTAGGATTACAGGCGTGAGCCACCGGTGCCCGGCCATAAACTTCTTAAGACTCCTTTTCTTCTTGACTTTGTAAAATCAGATATACTTCTTAATACCACAAGTTAAAAATCTTATTTACAAATCAACACCTTAAAATATAGAATAATTGGATTCACTTTAGTAAATGGTGAAATAACCAAATTCTTAAAAATGAACTCAACCTTTCCTCCAAAATATAAACGTATGCTTTTCCCTATACTTTACCCCATGGTATTTTAACAATGTGTTTTTAAAAACTGCATCTTAAACCCATTCAATCAAATATCAGCTTTACATCTAATAGTCAACACATTTTGAAAATAGAATATGCTACTGTAATGCTATCTATCTTCTAAAAGTTATTTAAGTTAGTCAGAGGCGAAAATAACCATAATGAAGCAAATACTTTTGAAACTGGTTGTAGGGGAGGGAGGCTTTATAAAATATAAGAGAAAGGGGATATAAGGTATGATAATCCACACTTGTGATCCCAGCAACTTGGAAGGCAGAGGTAGGAAAATCATGGTAGGAAGCCATTCATTCACCTAAGTGAGGTAGGGATCTCTTCATGTCATGAGCACTGAGAAGTAGTAGACAACATTGAGTACTATAATGCTTTTGGAAGACCACAACAATGTATACACTATAGTAACAGTCTCTACAAATTATTCTTCCTATGAACCTGGATCAAACTACTTTCCCCATCTATTACAACTTTCTACCCATCCATTTATTCCCACCTTTTTCTTTTTTTGCACCTGTCAAATAGTATTTTTAAAGATTTTTATTTGCATACTTTAGTTGTACAGAGGAAAGTTCATTATACATTTTTATACATTTTAATAGATGCATACAATGTATACTGACCCGGCACTCCAAAACAACCCTCATACCTTTTTAAATATTCTTTAAACCAGAATATTAAAGCATTCTATCATCAAAGTGGTGAGTGCTAACAAAAAGCATACAGATAATGCTGTAAATCATTTATTACATCATGAAAATGTTACCATACTGCCATCCTGTGGAAACAGAGTTACTGGCCTTCATTAGTACACATTGTCCAATATGTCAGAAAAAAAGTTTATTACAAATGCAAAAGCACACATATATTATAGTTTTAGACAAAGAAAATCTCTGATCTGGATTAAATAGTAATCTAAACAGAGCCTGAATATGTTTTCAAAGTACTTTAAATCCAAGCATAGCAGGATAAGATTGAACAGAGAAAAGAATGTTATCGTTGCCTTTAAAGGGCTCAAATTGTCAAGACTCTAGAAATTCTGATTCAAATTCCACTGAAATTTTAAGTACTAAGAAGTTCTTACTGTTCTCCAAATTTTAAGTACTTGCTCTCTGGCAAGACAACAATTTATGTTGACAGTACACTTGTATATTTTTTACCAACCATCAAATCATATTAGCCATTTGT